TATATATATATATATATATATATATATATATATTGGTAATTGATCAATTTTATTTTATAAATTGGTAGATAAGGTGCTGATAGCAATTTGTAACATTATTTTATAAATTAGTGAAAACGTTTCGTAGTAGTCATTAACCTTTAAAAAATATTTAATGATAATAATTGGATGATAAGAAGTTAACATATCTTTTTTCAGATATGAAGATCTTGCACCAATAGATAGGTAATGTTAGTTGGATTCTAGTGGCCATACATTAGGGCACAAAAACTGCAAAATACCTGAGTAGCAGTCTACACTAATACTGTTCATGCAAATATCATAGACCTCGTTGTTACTTGATTTTATGCATGTTTTATGTTTACCAAGTGACTGACACGGTTTGTTATTGTAATTCTAACTTCAACTCATTGCTTTTATTTTTGAAACCTTTGTAGTTAGATGTCGTCATGGATTAAGCTTTTGTTACTACTAGTACTAGATCTGACAAGATCTCTTTTATAAATATGAACTATGTAGGATTGCTTAGTGAAAAAAATATTTGATGGGAAGAACATAACTTACGATCGATCAAGAGAAATGCAGTGTGGAGCTAGAGTCTTCTCCCTTGGTTGTCTTCTTTTTCTTTTTATGAGGGATTCCCCTAGCCTTGGCTTGACATTCCTTCACCTCTCTTAGGTAAACTCGAATCGTGCTGCTAGCAAAAGGGTTTGATTCGGGTGAGCCTCCATTTTCCTCGTAGGCAGCACGAAGGCGGCCGATGAGGGCATCAAGGCTTCCCCAGGCTTGTCTAAGTGGGCAGGTACAAGGTGCCGGTGGCTCAGGCTGGCCGTAAAAGATACAACCCTGCAAGTGAACTTTAGTCTTTCCGAACTGATCCAGGTATCGGAGGAACTCGAGCACATGGTTGCTGTGGCAGTGGGCGATATGTATGGGAGGCCTTTGGTTCCTCAGGTACTGTCCGAAGGTATTCCAATCTCTTCGTTTCTGGGACTCGTAGCGGCTAGGAGAAGGTGATGGTGGATCCCCAGATGATCCATGATCTGCAATTTCTTTTCCTCTGTCATATGACATATTTAGATCATCAAAGACAGTGGAGTTTTTTGATGAATTTTGGGAATGAATCGGTGAACGAAGATCTGAAGAAGAGGAGGTCAGGGATGGTGAAAAGGGTGGTGGAACATATCGATCACATCAGTAGGACATCTGAGGTTTGATGAGATGTCATGGGGCCATATGCATCAAGCACTCTCTCTCTTTCTTCATCTCGCACTCTCTATTTTATGTATTTCTATGGTTTAATTCTTAACTGTTACGGTTTACACTTAAAAGAAACAAGATGTATCATTATTCACCTTGGATTCACTAAGTATTACACACATAGAATACCGAATTACCGATATTCTGATCTCTATTTCATTTTTATATGTATATTATATTACATGTAATTAAGCTGTCGTGAATAATGAGACTTTCCCCATGTATCATCGTTGACATCTTGAACTTTGTATTACCTACTCAACCTATTGGTGGTAATTTTTTTTTTTTTTTTTTTTTTTTGTAGATCTTATGTCAGCATAAATTAACTATGGTCGTTACTTTGTTTATATGTTAGTTAAAATATTCCAGTAAATTTAAATGTAACGATCCAATAACTATGCGTCGAGTTCACTTCAAAAGTTACGTCCAAAAGTTTATTAAATTTGCTCAAAAGATATAGTACGTAGGTTATGACTTTATAGGACGTTAAATATGAATGATTAATAATTACGACATGTAATTTGATATAAGCCTAAGAAATTAAACATCACTATCTGTCTTGAAATTTTACCAAAATGTAATATATATATATATATACACACACATGGATGGTTTTAAGAGGTTGCCGGTTTCAATTTTCTGTTTCTAGTGGAAAATTTATTGATTTTTCGATTTTTTACATATTTTCATGTATTACCAAC